TACTGTCTAAATCAGGACATTGGGTTTTCTTTGAAAAATGGGCAGAATGGGCAATGCTGGGCCTCTGTCCCAACCTGGCAGCTCCGCCTCAAGCTGGTGCCAGCAATGCCCTTTTTGGTTCACCACAGTCCCCATCACTCCCCATCGCCTCCCTGGCCCCTGGATTTTGTTGTTTGTAGCCCTTGTTCTATCTCACCAACATATTTTCTTTAAATGAACTTTTCATGGGTCAGTCTCCTGTTCACCCTTTGACTTCCAGCCCTGGGCCCAATGCCTGGCACATCAGAGCACTCAGGCAGGTTTGTTGAACTTACCAATGTGTGGCACCATGTGAGAGTGACGGGCAAGGAGAGAGAGCAAAACCAAGGGAAAGAGGGCAGTGAAGACAGCCTCGGCCATTGAATCTGGCCTACCATCTGTGACGCATGCCAGGGTGCGTCCTCAACACTGCACTTCTTTATTTCCTCCCACAGGTGAGCTGCACCCTCCAGTGCATCACCTGGCTTTGAGAGAGAAAGTGAAAAGAGGGTGATAGGCGCCTGCAAATGTTCCATCTGCCTTTCTCTTGGATGCCGACAGAGACAGCGGCTAAGTTTGCTTGCAAGGGGTCTAGGCAGTCCTTGGGAGGAGAGACAAGCCTTTGCGAAGAGCAAGCTCTCAGGGGCAATATAGCACATGTGATCCAATTCTGGTGACACACTGGCTGGACGTGTGACCTTGAACAAGTAATTGACCCTTCTGGGCCCATCTGTAAAATAGAGATAACAATGGTATTCGTCTCATAGGGATGATGCATACATTGAATGAGATAACACATGTAAAGTGCCTGGCACATGTTTGCTGGATGCATAACACTCCCTAGATTACCTTCCTCCGGCTGCCAGAACCAATCACCACGAGCTGGATGACGTAAAGCAACAGGGAGTTACTCTCTCACAGTTCTGGAGCCAGAAGTCCCAAATCCAGGTGGCGGGCTACCGTCCTCAGGAGCTCCAGAGAGAGCCTGTTCTTTGCTCTGAATGTGGTTCTTTCCAGAAATCCCTTGGCTTGGGGCTGAGTCCTCCAACCTCTGTCTTTCTCCTTTCATGTGTCTGTTGCTTCTCTCCTGTCTCCCGGAAAGACATTCGCCATTGGTTTAGGGCCCATCCATCCCATAATCCAGGATGATCTCATCTCAAAACCCCTAACTTAATTACCTCTACCTAGCCCCTTTTTCCAAATCAGGTCATATTCACAAATTCCAGGCTGCAGACATATCTTTTGGAAAGACTATCATTCAACCCATTATAATACCTAACACTTTTTGAGTGCTTTCTGAAAACCGAACTACACATGTATTATTTGATCATCCGATTAAGTTAGATTCTGAAGAAGAGAGTCCCAGGTGGTTCCTACCTTGGGGCCTGATGCTGTCTGCCCAAGTGCAGAGGCTGAGCACAGCTCTGTAGCTCCATGATTAGTGACCAAACGGAGAGGGTTGACACTCCTAACTTGTAGATTTTTCTGGATTCACTCTCAGCCCTCTCCATGTGCATTATCCTTTCCTTTCTCTGCAAAATGCCTGGTGGTGGGCGCTGATGTGCTGTCCAGATCCTCCTGAAGGACTTGTCCCAGCTGCTGGGAGTGCTGTCATCAGTCTTTAGTGGTCAGCCCCTCTGGGTCAGTCTCAAGTGCAGAGAGCCCCTCATTGGAGATCACCTGTCCTAAGGTGGACCACATCCAGCGACCGATGAAAGCAGCAATACATAGAATCTGGCCATTTCAGCCTACTATGGGCAACTTTAACTCCAGAGTTCCCTGTGGGGTCAGAGAGGCTGTGAGGGGACTGTGTCATGTCACTTCCCTCTTGGCCCAATCCTGCTTCCACAGGAGTTGATCCCAAAGGCACCCTCGCTAAACATCCTACATGATAAACTCCAATCAGTCTGCTTCCCGGACACATCAGCCAGTGCCAATGTTGAAGGACCATCTATTCTTGGCATTGAGCAATTATATGTGAGATAGAGATTTTACTCCAACTAACTGTGTATTTATGTGTAATGGTTCTGTTTCCCATAGGCAACCATAAATAATATCACCTTGAAGTTTAAATCATATATTTTTAATTATTATTTTTTTTTTGGACAGCTCTTTAAGGCTCTGAAGTTTTTCTTTTTCCTGAGACTTAAAACATGCAAATGAATCTGAGGCAATCCTAAAACTTGGAAATACTCTGCAGGTACCTGGATAAAAGGAGCACCAGTTTGATAGTTGCTGAAAACTTGTTTTCATGATAATAATATTTTGAGGTTTCAACTGGACTTACATTTGCCTTTGAATTTTTAATTAATTGGATGAAATTCATCATATATTTAGGACCATTTGTGAGCAAGAATTCAGAAAAAAATATAAGACAAGGAGACAGTCTATTGTTCTGGTTGAGAAAATAGGCTTTTGGAATAAATTGGGTCTGGGCTTGATCTTGTCTCTCCCACTCGCTGTTACTGAACTCTGTGCCTCAGTTTCCCCACCTATCAAACGAGAGTACTAATGCTATCTATCTATCCCAGAGACCTGTGAAAGCTAAATGAGATTCTCTATATAAAACATATATAATAATAAACACAATAAGTGCTATTTATCATTATTAACTACTACCCCAGGCAAAGCAAATAAATATATGTGCACAAACAAAGTTTAGATCATTTGATCCTTTGCTTACAGAAAATTCACGAACATTTGTCCAAATTTATTTTAAAAAGATACAATGGGCTTTTTTTTTTTTTTCTTATTAGAGAGAAAACTACTGAGTTTTCTAATACTGACGGTGACATGTGAGTAAAGACCTGAAGGCAGTGTAGGTGTGGGCCACATGGCTTTCCTGGGAAGAGCATTTCAAACGGAGGGAACAGACAGTGCAAAATTCTGAGAGGTCAGCTAGACGTGCTTGAGTTCTGACCAAGAGGCCCGTGTGGCTGGAGTGGACCAAGCAGGGCAGATGAGGTCAGAGATATAAGGGGGTGGGGACAGGTCTTGTAGGACCTGGCAGGTCATTGAGAAGAGTCTGAGTTTTGGTAAATGATTTGGGAAGCTACTAGGAGTCTTGAGCCATGGAATGACATGGCCCAATTTATGCATGAAAAGGACTGACTCTGCATTAGGGGTGGAGTGGAGGTGGGCAAGGCAGAAGGCAGGGAGACCGCCATTGGACAGATGCTAGTGCTGCTGCAGCAACCTTGGCTGACAACAATCGCGTTTAGATCAGGGCAGTCACAGTGGGCATGGAGCGTTCAGCACCGGCTGCATTCTGAACCCTGAACTGACAGGATTTGGCAATGTCTTGAGAAGTAGAGTTAAGGATAATTGTCAGTGGTGCTTTGTTTTTGTGTGTTTTTGTTGTTGTTTCTCTTGAGCAACTGAAGAAAAATGGCTCCTTTCACTAAGAAGAGTTCGATGCAGAGAGGCAGGGCTGGGAAGGAATGGGAGGTGTTCGTGTTGGGCCCCATTAAGCATGACGTAGCTCCTTAGCATCCAAATGAACATGTTGAGGTGGCAGTGAGAAGCTTCTGGGGTTGGCTGGCAGTCTGGGCTACAAGCATAGAGTTAGGAGTCATTGGGCTATAGTTGGTGTTTCAAACTATAAGACTGGATGAAATCCCCGAGGAAGTGAGTAGGAATAGAAACAGGAGATGTTCAGGAGCCAGAGAGGTGACAAGAATCAGCCACGGAGCCTGGGAAGGAGCTGCCGATGAAGGACAAGAAAAACCAGGAGAGTCCGGACACAGGTGGTTCGTGTGAGCAGGGCTGTGAAGGGTGTCCAGGCGTCTGTAAGGCCCGTGGTCCTCCCACCGTGGTTGCAGACTAGCAACATCCCTATCCGCATCTGGAAGTCTGTTAGGAATGCGCACAACCTCCGTGGCCTAGCCTCAATCTGCTAGGTCACACACTCTGAGGGCAAGGCCCTCCAGGCCATTCTGATGCACCCTCGAGTGTGAGAACCACTGCCCTAGGCACCAGAGTGCCTGCACAACATGTTAAAGAGGATTGAGAGGGGGAGAGGGGGGAGAACAAGCAAACAAGCCTTGCTTTACTGGAAGAGAACAATTTTAAAGACCCACTTAAGTGCTCAAAGCAAATGGGTAGCTCATGGGTACCTCCCAGTAAGCCCTCTCCCAGGAAACCCTGGTGCCCACGTCCCAATTTAGAAACCGTCTGTTCATTTATCATGGCTCTCTGGAGAGGAGGAATGCCCCATTCACTGGACAGAGGGAATGCAGAGCGCCAGGCATGCCAGACATTCCACTGCTAAAAACGGGGACCGAAACAGGGGGTTGGTATTTCAAGGTTAGCGTTGCTTGGGCCACGAATGCTGAAAACCGGTGAGATGGGAAGCTATCCCACCCTCCAAGTTTCCAAAATTTCCTCTCGGTTTTCCCAGGAGGATCCCACAGTCTTCCATTCCGGGGAGAAGCAGTTAACATGAAGGCCAGCCCCGCGGGACTGCCATGCCAGATGCGGAGAGGCTGGCTGTCCCCAGAAATAAGCTGGCTCGCACCGCGCGGGGCGGGGCGGAGCGCCTCCTGGAAGGCCAGCCCGAGTGCAAGGGATCTGGTCCCAAACTTTGAAATCTTGCGCGGAGGCACTGCATCCCGACCTCTCCTTTCCCAGCCACTCCTGGCAAGCCTTTCAAAAAAAAAAAAAAAAAAAAAAAGTGTGCAGTTGTCTCCTCCCCGCCCAGCCCGATCCTCGCCCAGGACCAGCTGTGCGTGCGGCGGGGACGCGGTCAGACCCGCGGCTGCAGCTGACCAAGCTGCGCTCTCCATTTAGGCACCTTCCGCTCTCCGCCCGGCTCTTGAAGCTCTTTGCAAAGTCGTGCAGCTTCTAAGTGCACGCCTGGCCTCTGGACTGCTCCCGCCCGGTCCCGGGCGCCCCCGCCTCCCACGCTCCCTTCCCCTGGGAGCAGCTCGTCCCAGCCGCTGGCAGCTTTCACCACTCTCCGGTCCTCCGCCCGCAGCGTGACCATGCTGGTAAGGGGCATCCTGCTGGCAGTGCAAGGTAAGGCCTGGACCCAGGGTGTGTGGGTGTGTGTTTGGGGGAGCAGGGGTCAGGGGACGCTCTCATGACCCTCTCCCACTCCTGCTACTCCCGTGGCCGGGCTCGCTGTCCTGGGCTGAGCCATCCAAAGGGCGCCTCCTGATACTTCTCCGCAGCGGCTATCCCGCTCCCCTAGACAAGCCTGGGGTGGGGATGAGGGAGCGCGGAGGAGGTTCGCGCCCTGGAAGCGCCAGTGAGGGAGTTCCTAGTGCATCCCCTCACCTGCCCCCTCCTGCACGCTCTCCCCTCACTTCCACCAGGTAGGTTTCCCTGGGCGCCCAGAGCTGGTGCAAAGGCTCCTCGGCTGGAGCCCGAACTGAAACTCGCTTTGTGCCCGCAGCCCTGCAGCTTGCCCGTGCCGTGGACCTGCCAGCCGGGTCCTGCGCCTTCGAAGAGAACACCTGTAGCTTTGACTCGGTGTTGGCGTTCCGGCCGTGGATTTTAAATGAGGAAGGTAAGGAGGCTCGGTGCCCCGGAGTGCCCGAGGTGAACTGCCCTGCTGGTTGGCTCTTTCACGTGGGAAATGCTATCTTGGGGTTAAATCCCCTTGGAAGGAAAAGTGTGCGTCATGGATCCTCCTTCCAAACCTCAGCTGTGCTGCCTAGATGGCCAAGGAAGAGATTGGGGGTGGAGCGGGTGTTCTTTGTTTACCTGGCCTAGTGTAGAAGCGCTGAGGTTTTGCCCCTCCCCTCCAGCACTTAATGGAAAGGTGAAGGGGGGCATAGCTGATGACTGTCACCCACGGCACTTCATCCTCTCTGTCCTCTGTGGACACCTTTGCGAGCTGGGGAAGTCGGATGGGGCATTCTCTCTCCACCCTGCGGGAGCGGTTCCATAATCCTGTGATGAGACTTCTGTGTTTTGCTGCATGACATCATCATCATATTCTTGTTGTATTTATAATCCAGCTCTTGGCAAAAGAGGAAACCAAGTCCCTGACCTTGTGCCTGAGGCCACTAAGCTGGTGGGTGTTGGTCGTGGTCTCACCACTACATACCACTTGGGTTCTAGTGACAAAGTTTAAATGTGAACACTTCAGAGGTATCTTCTTTCCCTTCATTTAGTAAAAATAAGTAGTTCTCCAGTGCCCAAAGCAGACACTGGGAGTCTCTTCTCTTTCCTCTTTCCCTCACTGTGTCACTCCCTTTAGAAGACTGATGCCCCAAGACCATGGTCGGCAAACTGCGGCTCTCGAGCCACATGTGGCTCTTTGGCCCCTTGAGTGTGGCTCTTCCACAAAATACCACGGCCTGCGTGAGTCTATTTTGAAGAAGTGGCATTAGAAGAAGTTTAAGTTTAAAAAATTTGGCTCTCAAGAAATTTCAATTGTTGTCCTGTGGATATTTGGCTCTTTTGCAGACCACTGCCCCAGGCCATTGGGACTGGGAAAGAGCCTTCTTTAAAAAACACTGCAGCATAAAGGAGGCCAGGTTACCTCCTTCCCCTTTCCAATTATCCTCCGGCCTCCAATCACCCAACCTGGAGAAGGGTGGAGTCCAGAAGCTCTGGTTGGAACATAGGAACTGTCATTCACAATTGATTCTGCCCCAGGCTTCTATTTGGGGCTTTGCATACATTAGCTTCTCTGACACTCACAGGTGGGTGATGTTAGCCCCATTTTCACAGAAGGGAATCTCAGTCTTCGAATATTCAAATGGATGGTCCAAGTCACATGGCATTGGCCAGCTCTGACCTGGCTAATTAGGGGAGGGAACTGCTCAGTAGTAATCCGGGCCTAAGGTCAAAGAGCCACTTGTATGACCCTGAGAGTGAAAACCTTAAATACTGCGCCCTTGGCACCTCTCTAGTCCTGGCCCTCAGAAAAGGAAATGAGCATCACCCCTTAATCCAGGAGCCTCAGTCCCTGAGGGCCACCCCCCCCCACAACCCCTTTCCCCATCCTCTGGCAGGCTGCGGCCTGGGTCAGTGGCATGCCACAGCCTGCCCAACTCCACAGCCTCGCAGGCCCACAGGAAGTGTTCTCCGCTGAGTTGGCACCTCTGCACAGTGGCAGTTAAACCGAGCAAACAGGCAGATGCTTATAGGAAAAGGTGATTAAGGTTTAATAGTATAATGAAAGTACTGTTGCTTTCCCGGTTCCCTTCTTTCTAACTTCTAACGGCCACTGCTTTCTGGCTCGGTACTAGGGCTCCTGGTTTGGCTGGGGAAGTGAATTCATTCTCCTTCGAGCACTCCAGGTGGGGCAGGTTAGGCTTCCGTCTTTACAAGATGGTGTTTTTTCAAAGACCAGAGCTTGGACATAACAGTCCACTCCAGAGGGATAAAGAGTGTGTTCAGTTGTGTGCCAGCTGCTGTGGCTGCCTGCTGAGAAGCCATCGCTAAGAATTTCTATTACAAACCCATTTCTAGGTTGGTGACTTACAGATAATAAAATCGCCCTGGGCTGAAATTTGGCAAGCTGTTCACAAGTTTCTTTGCTAATTTCCTTCATCTGGTTGCAAAAACCCTTTGAGATGGATTCCATCTGTGCATTTGTATCCACCAAAGAAAAGTTGTAGGTTATAGAGAGACTTTTGCCCACAGAGTTTGGAACACAAATGGCATTTCTATATGTCCTTAGTCGGTAGGTTAATTTCCAATGGAAAGAACAACGCTAAAGGCCAGTGAAGGGAGGAATTGGAATTTCATCACAGGAGATTCAAATCTGGGGTGATTGTCTTAAAATATCTCCCCAGCTGCCCCAAATTATATTGGAGGTCCAACCCTTTAGTTTATTTCAAGTATTCGTTCTCTACACATCTCCGGTTACAATTCCAATGTCTCTAGTTCATGGCCATTTTAAAATATGCTTGATCTCCACTGGACACAGGATGGGCGGGTTTGGGCAGGGCAGTGTGCTGGCTTAGGTTGTGTACCACCATGGGGACACCTCAGGCACAGGGTGTGACACCAGTGCAGGGGACCAGCCCTGCAGTCTAGCCTCCTCTACTTTCTACTTTTGCCAATGGTGGCCTTGGTTCCCACCCACCCCCCTCTATTTTTATTTTTAAATATGTTTTATTGATTTTTAGAGAAGAAGGGAGAGGGAGAGATAGAAACATCAATGATGAGAATCATTGATCGACTGCCTCCTACACGCGCCCTACTGAGGACCTAGTCGGTAAATTAGGCATGTGTCCTGGGCGAGAATCCAACATGGGACCCTTAAGTTCACAGGCTGACTCTCTCCATTGAGCCAATCCAGCTAGGGCCCCTCTATTTTATTTATTTATTTATTTATTTTTTGTAGAATTTTTTTATCTTCCCAAACTTGTCAAGGCAAGTGAGATTGTGTCAGACTCAAATTTGAACTCGTTTCTATGTTTTTAGTTTTGAATTAAATCTGGAAAGAAGAGATCTATTTTATCCTATAAAGATCTTGACTCATTTACTCCTTTACACAGTGGTCCTCAGCTGAAACCCAAGCCATTGGTTCCGTTTGCGCATGTCAGCTGTTCCTCGGAGGATTCTTAGAGAACAGAAAGTTGACCTTTCTTCCAGAGTACAATTCAAATTAGTCATCAGGTGGATGTTGGCTTCACTCTGAGTTTTGGATATTTTGGCGCTTAGTACCTCTAACCTAACACCCTCAGAGGAACTGAGGAAAGGGAAGGGTGAAATCCAAATCCAGGCACTGCTCTTTAATTGGGAGTTTCAAAAACAAAGCCACCCAAGTAGAGGAAGACAGATACTGAAATGTGTCAGGTTAAGAGAAGGTAGAAAAATAAAATTCAAAGCATTTTTTTTTTGTAGGGAAAGCATTTTTTATTTCTATAGCAGTGGGGGTCAGGAGTCGAGAAATTGCCTAATCCAGGAAGAGTTTGGATGATATCCTGGAGCAAGTGCTGATATCCGAGGCAGGACCTGGCTAGAGGTTTGGTATAACAAGGGGTGGGTGTGAGGGTAGGGGTGTGACCATGGCAGAGGTGCCCAAATCCCATTGCAAGCACATGCCTGTGTCTCTTTCTGACACCTCCTTTCTTCACCCAAACCCCTTCCTTCTGTCTTGAGGACACTTCCGGTCACTTGGCCATCTGAGTTTCAGTTCTGCACTCAGTCATGTGCCCATTATTATAAATAGTGATAATCCGCCTGATATTTCTTGAAGCCCAGCTAGAGCCAAAGTCTGGCAAGGGACCCAGGGTCCTTGCTGGAGCAGGAGGAGCCGTCCTCCCTTCCTGCAGATTACAGCTCTCTTTTCCTACCCATGAGGGGACCACTCTGTATCTCACCCTAAAATGAGGGGTTCACAGGGCAGTTCCTGCCCCCAGGCCTGCTTGAACCTGCATTTCCTCTGCTTATGGGTCTCCCGGTGCCCTCTTAGCAGAAACACAAACCCACGCTGTGTTGAGACCGGAGTGCAGCCCACATTCAGGGCATCCCTTGGATGTCTCTCAGTGAGAGGGTCAAGGCGATAGTGTCACCTGGCATTCTCCCAGCCGCCCTGGCTATGCTGCTGTTGGGTGTGGCTCTTGTGCCCTGTGCCTGGGCACAGCATTGAATCTGCTCTAGCTCTGCAAGGGCTCCTAGATCCTAGCAATGGGGCTTAGGGGTTATCCAGTGCAATATCTTTATTTTATGGAGGAGCACACTGGGCCCAGATAGGCTGCCAGTCATGGTCACAGCTCAGGCAATGGCAACCTCTCATTTCCTCTGTCCTTCACCAGTTCTTCCTTCCAATATCACTGCCTCATCCCAGTCTCCACTGGGTCCTGGGCCCTGGAGCTTTGTGTTAATTACAACAGTTTGGGAACTCTTCATAAGAGATATAGTTACAGTTCATACATGTGATAGAATAGGTTTCAAAGGTTTGAGCCTACCAGAGTCACACAACACTATGCTCTTGGTCATACAGTGAATTTATTCACTCTTCCAGATGTGTGGGTATCCCACCGGTCGGGAATCTTCGACATATAGAAAAGGGTCTGGCATGTAGTAGATGCTCAATAAAGATTTATTGAGTGAATTAATTTGCTGACTAACTAAATTAAGTATTGGGTGATTAAAAAGTCCTTATGCATGTTCATTTGTGCTCTTGGTTCATGCTGTACCTTCAAAGGTAATTCCTCATCATGAAAAACCATGTAAGCCTAGTGGTTAGTATAGTCTCTAAGCTAGACAGCTTGAATCCAGGCTCTGCCCTTTCATACTGTGCGGCCTTCAACAAGTTATATATCCTTTCTTTCTCAGTTTCCTCAGCTGTAAAATGGAGATAATAAAAGTGCCTGTCTCATAAGATGGTTGTGAAGAATAAACACATTAATATATGTATCACGTAGTGAGCACTTTAGATAGTAACATGTTATTATCCTTACTCGCACTAGATTTGTATTTTAACAATCATGATTTCTTCTAATTCAAACAGCTTTCCAACACAGCTTCTGAGAAGCTATGCAGAGTCCCATTTTCTTTTGATTATAGTTTTGCCATTTGCTCTATTTTTAGCACCCACGA